AGACTGGGGGGGTCTAGTCACTGGGTGGGGTCTAGTATCTGCGGTAGGGACAGGTATAGGCCACTGGAGTTCCTACTGATATTCGGGTAGAACTGTCTAGTGGCTATATATAAGGCTTAGACCCCGGGGTAAGTGTAGGGGTATAAGTCGCTCAGGCCAGTCCGAGTTACGCCTGGCCTTGGGTAAGCTAGGGGAAGGACAGTAATCAAACTTGCCACCAATTCGTAGAGTGGAGACCATACTAACTAACTGCAAAACAAAATCCACAAAAATATAATTAAAAACATATAAAACAGCAAGGCAAAAGTGCATTTTCATGAAATTTCGCCAACATCTCTTCTTGCAAAACTTGGAAGAAGCTAAAAGAACCGGTTTTGGGGCGTCCCTTCCAGAAATGTCAAAAAACGAAAAAGGGATCCCACATCTCCAGGAAGGCCGCCTCTTTCACGAAATGAATGGGGGACAATTGTGGGCGGTGTCGATGAGTTTGGACCTTTGAACGGCCACGCGGACCAGATGTCACACACCATCGTGTACCGCGGACATTGCACGAAAACCTATGTGAACCACAGGGACAACCAGAAGAAAACGGAAAAGAAAAAACGAAAAACCGCGCCTTCTTTTTCGCTACACAAAGACGGGGGTGTCCTCTTCCATTTTTCGAAAGAAGTACGAAAACGCCAATTGCAGACGTCGCGCGACTCCCATCAACGTTTCCACATCCCCGATGATGCAGGGCCGCCGCCGAATTGTCGGGAAAGAGGCCGGATCCCATTTTTGACCAAAAACTACATGCCGAACAAAAAGTGGGATACGACCCTAAGTGCCAGGGGGAAGTGTGGGTAGGGGGAAGTGTGAGTATGCCGTCAGTTCGACCTGAGTTGGCATCAGTCTGCTATGTTCAGCTATGCCCTCAGTCGGACCTGGGTTTGCATCCCTTGGCTATGTTCCTCCCCTCCCCATGTCAGCTTTGCAGAAGCTCAGGGTGTACTCTTTTTTTTTTTTTTTTTTCATTTAAAAAAGACACCTCTGTGCTGGAAAACGGGTCCAGCGTCCCATATTAAAAATTCTAACCCCCTTCCTAGCCTGTGGCCAGGGTGTACTCCGTCACTACACCCATGAACTGTTGAAATGTTCTTTTTTTCCTTAGCATCATGTCAGAACCATCCCCAGGAGAAATATGTACACCTGACTTTGAATCCTTCATTACTATTTGCTGAGAACACGCATACAAAAAAAAAAAAAAAAAAAAAAAAAAAAAAAAAAAAAAAAAAAAAAAAAAAACAGTACTTTTCCGCAACATTTTCCAGACCCTGGAAATCTTCTCCACATCCCAGGCCTCCTTCTGGCTAGCGCTGGCCGCCATTTTGCGCCGATATGACGAGGCGCGTTAATGGCCGAGTCTGAGAAAAACAGTTGTGCGAAGTACTGGTGGTTTAAGCGCCACAGGGAAGTCTGAGTAGGCCCTCAATCACACCCCAGTTCACATCCGGCTTTTATGTTTCGTTGTAGGGGTTTGCTTTTGAACTGTCGAATACGAGTGTCCCATGCAGTCAGGCATTTGCAGTGTTTCGAGTCCTGCCAAAACTGTGGTCAGATCATCAGATGCACTCTGGAAAATGTTAGCATGAGTATGCCCTCAGTCAGACCCGAGTTCGCGTCCATCTGCCCTGTCCAGCTATGGCCCACGGGACCCCTCCTCCCACCCCATGTCAGCTCTGTGGAAGCTGAGAGCGTAGTACTCACTGCAGCATTTTGTCTGCCAACTGGGAGTATTCCCTATGAACTGCCGAAACATACACCTGTGTCTGAATCAAATTAATTCCTCTTTCTGCCCATTTGAGCAGGTGATTGCACTTGCAGTCATTTTTCATACAGTCCATAACTCCGGTCAGACGCACTTAGGAAAAGTGCTAGTGTGACTATGCCCTCAGTCCGTACACCGATGAACTGTTAAAATGCAGACCAGATTCAAATCAGTTTTCTCTGTCCTGCTCTAGTTCGAATGAGGAAACTCTGTGCTACAAGATGTTCAATGGGATGCTGGGCCCGGTTTCCAGCAGGTGCCGCTCCCCACCAATAAATGGAGCAGCCCCACAGATAAACCCTCAATCCTGGCGGTTCTCTCACCTCCGCCGGGATAGAGGGCTTACGAAGGGGGTTTTGTAAAAAATAAAATATTTTTTTTTTTATAAAAAGGAGATCTTTTTTTTTTTTTTTTTGGAAGAATAGCCCCTGCGTTAGCCCACTATCCCGGCGGTGGTGAGAGAACCGTCAGGATTGAGGACTTATCTGTCGGGCTGCTCCATCTATTGGTGGGGAGCGGCACCTGCTGGAAACCGGGTCCAGCGTCCCTTTATACATCTTGGAATACAGAGTTTGCTGTTACTTTTCCTGGGCCATGACCAACTTACGCTATACAACCCGAGACCCCATTTTCCCTCAGAGMTGCTAGTGTTACCCGTCCCATCATGGAGCACTTATTTTGTTGTTGACCTGCCCAATTCTGCAGCCCCCTGTTTGTTGTTGACAGTCTGTTATCTCATGAGTAAGATATTTAAACCTAAAATGAGCCTTATGTGATCTGTGTGGTCTGAGGATCACGCAGGTCATCACTCCACACCCCATCCTCCAGATGCATCAGCCTGCTGCCTCTCCTGGCAATCAAACCCTCCCGTTCGTCATTCCGTATCCTGATTCCTTCGGCTGCTGTCCCTCGTCGAGTCTCTTCCTGCAGATCCCCACTAGTCGTAACTTCTCCAATCTTCTGGCGGTGAAAGTAGGTGGCTGGGACGGGGAGACAGAGAGAAGGGCGGATGGACGGAGTGCGGGGGGTGGGAGGGGGTAGAGGGGCATCCACGTATTCATCCCGCGAGGAGGACAAAAGAGGGGGGATCCGCTGCAAGCGGGATCCCGAAATGGGAATGAGGCTTAAGGGGCCATTCGTGTTCATCCATCCTCCAGTTCTTCCATTGTAGGTGGGAACCCTGAAGGTCCGCCATGGTTCTCTGCGGGGATCTGTATATGAGCTGTATGGCCTGAAGATCATGCCGGCCTTCACTCCACACACAGTCCTCCGAATGCATCAGCCCAGCCATAGACCCTCTACAGACCCATGGTTTGGAAAGTTGTGACCTGTGTGTGATATGTGTGGTCTGAGGATCATGCAGGCCATCACTCCACACCCCATCTTCCAGATGCATCAGCCTGCTCCCTCTCCCGGCAATCAAACCCTCCCGTTCGTCATTGTGTCTCCTGATTCCTTCGGCTGCTGTCCTCGTCGAGTCTCTTCCTGCAGATCCCCAGTAGTCGTAACTTCTCCAATCTTCTGGCGGTGAAAGTAGGTGGCTGGGAGGGGGAGACAGAGAGAAGGGCGGATGGACGGAGTGCGGAGGTTGGGGGGGGGTAGAGGGGCATCCACGTATTCATCTCGGGAGGAGGACAAAAGAGGGGGGATCCGCTGCAAGCGGGATCCCGAAATGGGAAGGAGGTTTAAGGAGCCATTCGTGTTCATTCATCCTCCAGTTCTTCCATTGTAGGTGAGAACCCTGAAGGTCCGCCATGGTTCTTTGCGGGCCCAACCATTCTTCTGTGAAAGCAGTCGTCAGTTCCTGCTCCTTGTTCTGTTTTTGTGTTGTCGTGAGGGTGAGGTCATCCTTAATTTTTTGGATTTGTTGTTTGGTGTGATCCCACGCTGCTCTTACCCTCCCGACCAGATACTGCAACAGGTGCTCCTTTGTGTGGGGGGCGGTGAAAGTATGCTGTTTTCGCTCAAATGAGCAGCGTACCCTCCAGGCGCGCATCAGGAGTTCAATTCTTGTTATGTGAAAGACATTCCTCTTGTAGGGGGACCAGTCCGTACGGGGGGTCGTCAGGTTCCCAAGAAGCAGGAATTTCGGGTCCCACGGGAATTGTGAGCCTGTAAGGACCGTCCAGGCCCCATCCCACCATCTCCAGATCTGGGTCACCATAGGGCACCCTAGTAAGCAATGCTCTAAAGTGGCTCGGGAGGGTTGGGAGAACCAATC